TGGAAATTTCTTTAGATACCATAAATGTTTATGTGTATTCATTCAGAATACAAGAGCCAAACTGGTTTTATGTTCCACTTGCCATGGATTCGTTATACAGTAGGTAGCACTGGCTTAAGTTTAGGTTTTTGTTGTTTTTCCTTACTCAAATGTGCATGACTTGTTTGGCCAAGCACGGAATCAATGACATCCTATGTCAAAGTTTACAACATTTTATGAGATAAGCATCTCAATTGATAATTTTTATGATAACAAGTAAGGGTATTTAATACATAAAGGCTTTACCTAAAGTGAAAACATTCATGAGTGAGTGAGAATTTGAACTCATGCTCTGATTCCAAAACTCCTGGTTCAGGGAAATCTTGTCAAGATGGCATGACAAGAACTCTTCTCCTTTGCTTTCCACATATTGCAATAACAGATAAATTTCCAAAGACATAACATTAAAACAGAGTGATGCTCAAAAACAAGATCAAAATATAAACTGCAAATGAGATAGAGATCACTAGCTGACGCCTAGAATTAAACACAAGAAACTCCACATACTTTCAGGGGAAGTAGATGGTATTGTGCTGCTACATTTGTCTCACAACGTCTTACCAAAACCTAGTGTCAGTTTTTATGATTGAAAACTGAGTGTGATATTACAGAAGTTGAGTGACTGCAACCGCTCTCGCATCCTTCGCCACTGCATAATAGAACTACCTTTTTATTTTAATTTTTAACTCTCTGTATGTATTTCTAATTATGTGTACACATTTGTGTCTATCTATATAGGGTTATGTGCACATGAGTGAATTTGCTCATGGAGGCCAGAATAGAGCACTGGATGGCCGGAAGCCAGAATGTTAGGAAGTTGCTACTTCCCAGATATATGTGCTGGTAGCTGAATTGTCCTCTGGAAGTGTTTTTAACTGGTGCATCATCTCTTCTCAGCCCCAGAAATTTCATAAGGAGCATAGAGAAAGAGAAATGAACTTGCAGCTAGAATTTGTGTCAAAGTGCTCATTAACTGTATCTAGGATATATATACATATCGCCCAAGATTGGGGGCTGGGACAGAGATCATACAAAGCTATCCAGAGTAGCTTAGGGCTGTATATAGAAGGGCTAGCAATAAAAAGAGGTTTTTAATTTTCTCTCATTTAATTTGAGTCAACAAACCAAAATCCCAACCCATGAGAAAATAATATTAGAATGTTGGAGACTGGAGAAGGTGTTCCTTAGTCAAATGCTTTGTATAAAAGCTTGATGGTATGAATTTGTATCCACAGGACTCAAATATAAAGCTGGGTACAAGGCCTTGTGATTGTAATCCTAGTACTGGTAGAAGATCCTGGGAGTTTGCCTGGTCAAGACTCTAGCTGTTTGGAGATCTTCAGGTTTAGTAAAAGACTACCTCAAAAACTGTGGTATGGAATGATACAAAATGACAACATTGTCCTCTGGCCTGCATGTACACACATGCAAACACTCAACGATGTTAAAATAACAGAGCAATGCCAGGAAGATTTCAGAATAAGTACAATAGGATCCTCAAGGAGAAAATGTAATAAAAAAACATGCAAAAAAGTACAATTAAAGAAATAAACATTGTTCATAGAAAAAAATCAATTTGAATTTTCCCCCCAAAAAATGTAGTTAAAATACATTCTACATATTTTATATAGTGGACATCATAACAAAAAAGAATTAGCAAATTGGAAGATATTTCTGAGTAATATACCAAAAGCCTAGCACAAATAGATATGTCAAAGAAGATAAAAGAGAATTTCAGAATTTTATATGCTGTATCATGCAATTTTAATTCATATTACTAGAGAGCTGCGCATGGAGTTGAAAGCTAATATTATAAGGGTGACAATGTGAAAAGAAAATCCCCAAGTTTTCTATTTCTTACAAAAAGCAAGAACCCTAAGACCAAAGCGTCTAGGAAGGTGAAGCATCTCCCTGTTCCTCTTTCAGGTAAAGAAAAAGTAATAAATACCACTGCTCTCTGAGAAAAGCCTTTGAGAATACAAAATGTGAATGGAATAAATCATCTTTAAAATGAATTCGATAGCCCAACTGAAATACAAATATGAAATTGTTCCTTATCAGTGTAGATTCTGATTCACTGCTACAGATGTCTACTGATACAGGGTTCCAGAGGGAGCCGGAAATTTAGTGAGCATGAGATGTACGTAGAGGTTGGTAATCCCAGCCCATGTCCAGTTCACTCTAGAACCTGTTATGTGAACTCATGAACTCAAACACTGTGAGAGACAGACTCTGCCTTGATGCGTAGAAGGACAGTTAACCACCAACATGGGGGAAAACATGCCTCACAAGTTGATAACCCTACCACTTGTGATATATTCTACAACAAGTTCCTCGTATCACCATTCAGATTATCTTTGGTAAAGCACCACTTCCCCTTGTTTTATTTTTGACACTTTAGCAGTGTCAAAAGACTTTCTTTTTCATTTTCTGTATTTATGTGTTGTATTCCTGTGCAGATCGTAAGTTACCCAAGAATAAAAGTAACTGTCAAATTAGAAGGAAGAATGTTGCTTTAAGATGTCAAAAGCACGTACACAGGCTGGAGTATATGTTCACAGGAAACGTGCATGCATGTGCTCTTTACATAAAAATAAGAAATATGACAATAGAACATATAACTAATGTGTCCTATTGGCTAACTAAAAAATTTGAACATCAAGAGAAGATTAGCATTTTTTAAAAAAGATATACACTTTCTTAAAAACATAGAATTAAAATAATACTATGGTTGATTTTGATTTTGCTAAAAAAATTCTCTACAACTTACCAATAAGTAAATATAACCAGCAATGTTAAAAAAATATTTAAAATTAAATGCTTAAATCTAAGCAGGCATTTCTACCCTTTGTTTCTTGTGTCTCATAGACTTCTAGAAGAAACCCCATTTTTTTTCAGCCTGTCCCTGTAGCATGGTGTCTTCCTGAGCTATGTTAAGTAATAATAATAATAATAATAATAATAATAATAATAATAATAATAATGAAGTTTCCTTGTAAGACTGGTTTTTAATTGGCTTAGGGGGTGGATAATGAGTTCTTTTTTCAGTCATAATCTTCAAAAGGGCCATCTTTTTTAGAAATTCTCAGGGAAACCTTTGCTTTATTTACTGCTATACATATTCAAGGCTTTTGAAACAATGCATATATTTTCTTGTTGTTCACGTTGGCTTAACAAAAACCCTTGTGAAATATATTTCGAGTACTTTCGTGGTAAGAACACAATTTTTCAAAACATGTAAAGGAAAATCATTGTTTTTCTCTCTTGAAAAGAAATCCCTTTTTGGCAGCAGGAACTAACAGGAACTGTGACCACAGGAATGAAAGAATGAATGTAACAGGTGGCAAGGACATAATGAACTTACTTCTCTCAGGAAAGAATGTGTCTGCCACATTTTACTCTGATAGCACAGTTCAGGTCACATCAGAAAACTAACTTGTCTTTCTTGTGCATAATCTCTGTACAAATGCATGACTAGGACTTAGCTTTGCCAGGGGCCAACAGGTTTCCATAAAGTTTGCAAAAGTTTAGTTAAGCAATGTCTTCAAAAGTTACCTTGTAACTGAAATCACTTTCTGACGCCCTTTAATCCTCCTCTCCCTTTCCTTACAGGTCTGTAGCTTCATACTGACTTGTTTTCAGTTTATTAATTTCTTTTAGCAAACTGAAGGCAGAGAGCTCCAGATGAAAGGAGCTTGCCCCCACACAAATTCTGAACTTTAAACAAGGAGACAAAACTGTGTTATCGCTCCGATTTGTAAAATGTTTAAGTGAGTGTGAAGCACAGACCTGAGAACTTCATCAAATCAGCCAGTGGAAGACATAGTCTGTATGTTATCCATTTTGATAACATCTATTACAAGTTTGATGGCAGTAAAGACCGATTTCCTAATGAAGTGGACAACAGCAGTTGCATTTAGCACGTACTCCAAAATATAATTTGAACATGGAGGTTTGGAATGAGAAGCCTGCCCCTTCTGCTTGCAGACTGAGATTGTCTTTGAACAACCAAAAAAAAAAAAAAAAAAAAAAAAAAAAAAAAAAAAAAAAAAAAAAAAGAAAAGAAAAAGAAAAAAAAGGAGGACACATTTAAAATAGGATTTAGGTATGATTAAACTAGGGATTAATCTCAATTTATACTCTGAGGTTTTCGTTTTGCTTGGTTGGTTAACTTTTAGAAAACACCAGCTTACTAACGTCCAAGATATTTGCACTGCCATTAGAAGTACTCTGAGTTATTTTAACATGATTCTTCAAAAAGAAATGTGTGCAAAGTTTCTGCCACACAATGTGAGCAAACAGGATCAGCAGGAACAAAAGAAGTTTGCACGCTGCTCCTCAAAGGACTTTAAAAGAATCCTTCCCGGGAATAATACACAGAAACCACTGGAAAGGGGCTTGGGGGAATCAAAGCACACTTAGTTTTCAATGGGTAAAGATGTACTTTCTTTCCTATTTTTACATTAAAAATAAGAGCGCACACCAACAAGTCTCCCTGGCTGGCAATCAGCTAAGCACAGGCCCTGACCCTTCCCCTGGCCAGGAATGGTTGGTCACACAAAGCTCTTTCCTTACATCTGGGCTGCATATTTCTGAGATGTGGCACCAAATTGTGAAGCTACAGCCGAATGACAGAGAAGTTTTACTAAACGAAATGTTTACAGATATCCTGTCTCTTCTTTCCTCCTGCCACACATGATTTGCCTAAATCAATATTGACTCGGGTTGCAGAAAAGCAGGGCTTAAACCAAAGAAAAACTGGAAGGAAAAGAACAGACAGGACGACAACAGTACTGTATTTCCCTTTTCAGATTGCAAATGTCATGTGAAATCAAGCAGAGACAAAGCCGCATGACCTCAGGATTTCTTGCTGGTTTGTTTCTCCCCCCAAAAACATAACAGATCTTAGCTTTTACGACAACACAGAGAATATTTGAGTAACATCTTAAATCTGCACTCACCACGTGAAAGCAACAGTTGCGTAGAGTAAAAGTGTGTTTTGTTTTGTTTTGTTTTTCCTGCCCCCTGTTCCATTTCAGTTCTGAAATGAACAGTGTCCAACAACCAAAAGGCCGGAGCTGCCACCCAGAGGCCCCATCCACGAGCTCGTTCGTTTGCCTGTCAGCCGGAGCGCTGTCTTCTGCGTGCTGCAGCTGTGCACTTTGCTCTAGTTCTAATAAAATTTCCATCTGGCTCCCACCGCCTCACATAGGTGGGTGATCTGGCCTTTCAGTTTCATGTCTGCGCAGCACATTCCAGGTGAGGCTGTAGGATCCGGCTGTCCACCCTCAAGCCAAGGAGTTCTTGGTGAGAGGTGGGTGGAGAGAGAAGCAAGCTCAGCACGGAGAGAACCCAGGCTGTAATCAGAATGCAAAAAAAAAAAAAACTTCCTCCGTTTTCCTGCCTTGCGAGGCTGAGCGGCTAAGGGCCTCTTTTCGCAGAACTTCGGAATGTACAGGCAGGACGCAAAGGGGCCCCGCCAGACAAGCCTTTCTCAATCAATCAGCTAGCAGCCATTACTTGTGACCTGAGGTCACACAGCATAAGTGCGTGGGGTGTGCCTCCCGGGGTCCCCAGGCTACTTACTGCAGCGTACATAACCAAAGCCAAGCAGACGCTGAATTCTAGAAAGATTTTAATAGTGAATGTTCTAAAGACGTAAAGTAAAGGTAAGCGAAGTGTTCTTTCTGAGTAGGTATTGCTTAATTCAATGAATTCAAAACAACACGTTTTCACATTAACTCACACAGCATTTAGGACAGAGTGGTGACATATCTCCTTTATATTATATGCCTGGGGATGTGGAAATGACAAGAGATTCCATATGACAATTACATGATTACCAATACTTCCTGAATCACATGGACGTTAAGGTTTTACTTTAGACTTTTAAAAAAATTGTTGCAAAATTCAACTCTAAACAAAGATCCTGATCCCCAAAGAAGTGACTCTAATTTAGGGATCTGGGCCTACCTATGTTAACCCCTGGTGAAATCCCATGCCAAATTAACCTCACAAATTCTCTTACTTTCAGAACTATATTAATTATAATTCTCAAGTTCAGAATAGTAAATATCCACTTTAGTACATTTTAATTGGGAATCTGTAATAAAATTTATGAAACAGTAAGTAAAAATCTAATATTTTAAACCTGTATCTGTATTCTGTATATTAAGTTTTCATATTCTTCAAAGACACTTTAAAAGAGTTGTTATCATTATCAAAGTTATGAGAAGTATCAAGTAATTGTACATCAAAGCAAACCCTTTCTTGTGGATGATTCAACCCAATTAAGGGGCTGATGTTTTTACAGTGTTTCTATGAGACATCCTCCCTCTCCCAGTACCTGTCACTCAGAGATAGAGACAGATGCTCAACACTCCATCCTTCACCCCATTTCCTGAGTAATTCCACAGGCATTTAAGGCATCATCCAGTTCAGTGCTGCCTGTGAAATTCCTATGGATGCTGAATTTCTATCCAATTCATTATCCTTTACTTAGCAAACTGAATTAGCTTCAATCAGGCATTATCTGATAGAAATCAAACACAAAAATTAGCATGTTATAAAATTAGCAGTGAAATAATACTTTCTAACAGAGCATACATTTTGAAAATACAGAAACAGAATATAATTATAGGTATTAAAGTTAGCTCTAGGTGGGGTTTAGTGCAGAAAGGAGAGTTTCCACATTCTCAAATATAAAACATAAAGTCATTGATAGGTCTGCATATTGCTTCTGAATAAGTTTTAAAAAACAAAGAATAAAACATGTTGGTCATCTTTCACTGAATTCATCATTCTGTTCTGCATACTGAAAGTGAGCATCTTTGAAAAATATTCATGCTAATAGACAGGGACAATGAAGAACATGATTAGTGCTTGAAGGCTCTCAGAGCCACTGAGGTTACTACACTTCAGTGTTACCTCATATTGCAAGTTGTGCTTTCACTGTTTTCTCATTTCATTCACTCAAGATTAACAGCTAATTTAAGAGTCAACAAAAGCACCTAACCTTATACTTTAGATGTCTACAGTCATCTACTTTCAAGATCCAGCTTTTATTGTAACATAATTTCTACGTATATGAAATGAAGGATTTTCCAGTAAGTTCAGAAAGGTCACTCAGAACCCATACAAAGAAGAAAACATAACCAGCCCTTGAACAGGCGGTGATGATTTCCCAGGCTATAATGTAGTTTTTATGGCCTGTTTGCAAGTTTTTATGTGGCCATAGATATTTCTGAATTACACACGGGTTATGAAAATAATCCCCTTTGCTGAAGTCTGCTATTACTCGGGAAAGATCACTAGGAGGATCTAGCACTATTACAAAGAGTTTGTCAAGTTGATTCACGTCACCGCCCGTCTTTGCTTTGTGGAGAAAAGGTCTGCAGCTCTAGAAGTTCTGATTAGTTAATAAAACCTGGTAGACCCTGTTCTGTTAAATTCATTTAATTAGAAAATTATCAGAGTGCAGAGAATCATATGAAAAAATGGAGGAGTCAGTATGGCCTAGAGAGAACAGGAGCTCCACAAGGATAAAATATATCAGAGCATGGGGGTCGTCTATGAGACTGTTTCTCCAACCAAGGTCCATGTATAGATATAACCTAGAACCCCTGCTCGGATGTAGCCCATGGTAGCTCAGTAACCAAGTGGGTAACCTAGTAAGGGGAACAGGAACTATTTCTGACATGAACTCAACAACAGGCTCCTTTATCTCCCCCGCCCCTGAGGGAGGAACAGTCCACAGAGAAGGACATGGCAGCCAGTCCAGAAGATACCTGATAAGCTATGGTCAAATGGAAGGGGAGGAGGACCTCCCTGGCAGTGGACTTGGAAAATGGTAGGGAGGAGATGGTGGAGGAAGGCTGAGATTGGGAGGGAATGAGGGAGGGGTCTACGGCTGGGATACAAAGTAAATAACCTGTGATTAATATAAAAAAAATAAAAATTAAAAAAAGAAAATTATCTCCACTTCCCAAGTCATTTTATCAGGTAAACACTACAATAAATATTTAGAGGTGCTAACACAGAATACATTAACTCACTCCAATTAATGATTCACAATAATAAATTCCAATGTGTTTATATTAAGCTATATAGGTATAATCTATAAGAATTAAAAAAATAACAAGTTACTAACCATAAATTGCATGTGAATTTCTATACTAATTATGTTATTTATTTACATATATTGTTTCTCACAATATGTAATTTTAGAAGATAATCACCTTTTCATTTAAAAAAGAAATAAAATAAAATGTTTAAGAAAATAGTACAATAAATTTCTAGGAGCCGAGCATATACTCCATAGTGAAATGTTTGTTTGACATAAACAGACCTTTGGTTTTTATCCAACCTGCAAAATTCAAATTTTTCCAGATTTTTATCAAAAGTGATTAGCAGTACACAAACATTAGTCAAACTCAGCCAACATGTAGTTATTTTAATTTTTAAAAATTTGTTTCTGCAGTATCAGGGATCAAATCCATACATTGCTTCTGATAAGCAATTTATTTTATTTTATTTGGTTTGATTTTTCAACACAGGGTTTCCCTGTGTATTCTTGGCTGTCCTGGCTTCAAAACTGACAGCCATTCTCCTGCCTCTGCCTACCTGAGTGCTGGGATTAAAGGCAAGTGCTGGAATTAAGGGTTGACAAACAAATTCCCTACCACTAAGCTACATACTCTCCCCGGCCACTCATGGAAAGTTGATAATGTTACAGTAAGAAAACCAATAGGGATGTCCAATGCATCCACAGGTTATACAAGTTTCTGTACATTACTTGATAAATTTTGTTCAGATGCGTGAATCTGTTCCAGAAAAATCTTGGATTGTCATTATTACATTTTCTATCAATAGAAGGTGCTGGCTTACGGGTTATGTGAGTACTACCTTCATGCTACCATTTTTTTTTCTCCTTTGCTATTAGTGCCTAGATCCTGGTTGGAGAGGGAAAATGTACTGAAAACATGTTGTCTTAGTGAAGGTAATGTACATGGTAGCAGAGACAGGAAGATGAAGAGAACATAGGAACCTCAGTCCTTACCACTGTGAAACAAAGTTGGTAATTGGAACACCACAGATGCTGGTTGTAAGCATAATATTAGATAGATCCAGTTTAATCCAGAGTCAAGCAAATAGAGAACAACTCTAAAATAAAGGCCTATGTAAAACACTGCAAAGAAAACAGAACATGAACGCTATCAGAAGGAAAACAATAAAAAGATAAATCATCAATTTCACAGATGAAAATAAGCATTTTAATATTCATGAAGACGTGTATCCCATATAACAGGAAAAATTAAAAATTATGCTAAAAAAAAAAAACAAAGATTTGGGCAAGTGATGTGATTCAATGGGTAAGGGCACATGCCATGAAGCCTGATGACCTAAGTTCAGTTTCCAGAATCCACATAATGTTAGAAGGAAAGAACTAACTCTATAGAGTTGGCCCCCGAAATGCTCATGTGTTCTATACAAATGTTCAGAGCTCTCCATCTCTCTTTCTTTCTCTCACTATTTATACATGTGCTCAGTAAGAATAATAAATTTTTATGTAAATACAATAAAACAATATAATTCAATGGCAATATATAAAAAATGTTGCCTGTGTGATGTCGTTTCAAGACGTTGAAACAGGAAAAATATAAAGGTAAATATGAGGAAAGAGCACAAATAAAAGATGCTTGCATAATTAAAATAACTAAAATAAAATTAGAAATATAAGATGTAAGAAATGGCTAAGTAAAATTTAAAATACTACAGATATTTTATAGTTCCAAGTTTTAAATGACGTTATTTTAGAAGAGATACAACAATTAGCAAATACAATACAATATCCATGTTAATAAGCGTTCACTTGAATTGCTTTAAATTAAGGGCAGCATTCTCAATAAAATATAAATTGCTAAAGGTTTCTGAAGAAATACTAAATTTTATATGGAAAGATAACTTGATATCATACATTTATAATTTTACATTTTTCTCTCTTGGTTACACTTGTGAAAAGACTATTTTGCTTTTTAGAGAGCTAATGCCTTGGTGCTTCTTTAATGCATTTGTGTGTGTGTGTGTGTGTGTGTGTGTGTGTGTGTGTGTGTGTGTGT